GGCTCCCGGGAGCCTCGAGGCGGAGCGGGGACGAGGATGCTGCTCCGAAGGCCGGCGCTGCTTCGTCTTCCCCTCGGCCGTGTCGCTGTCTGCAGCTTTTCCCTATAGTGCAGGGAGCACAAAGTCCCGCAGACTTGCCCGGGAGCGGGGCTGGCTCCCTGGGGGTGACCCCGATGTCCCTTTGGGCTGTGCGGTGGTGACTGCCCTCAGGGCTGGTGTGACAACTTAATCCCCACTAACCCCCTGTCCCGGGACTGGGGCACTGCCGGCTCTGGATTCGGGCAGGTCGGCTGTCCTGGGGTGGCCGGGAGCCGGGCGGGATACAGGCTCCTGTGTCCCCGGAGCCCTTGGAGCCCGGGGAAGCGCCCGCTCCCTCGTGCTGCTCCGCAGGCACCGCGCAGCGTTCAGGCCGGGGGCAGGAGCTGGCCATGAGGAGCATGGGGACAGCAAGGACCTGCTGTGCCAGCAGCGCAGGGACCGCGAGCAGGAGTGATTCCTTTGAGGAGAGCGGGCCCGGAGGAGCGGGAATGGGCCTGGAGGAGTAGGATTGGGCACCTGGAAGGCGGGAAGGAGCGAGCGAGGTGTCTCTGTCTGGTGCTACCTGGTCATTGCGACACCCGAGGCTGCAGCGCCGGGGCCCGGCTGGTCCCTCGGCAGCGCCGGAGCCGGCTGCGCACCGGGAAGTTCATCCGGGAAGCAGGAAACGCGCAGACTCCCTGTTTATCATTCCAAAGTCCAGGGCTGTGCCGCCAGCGCGGAGCCGAGCTGGTGCCGATGGGCAGAGCTCAGGGTGCCGGGGAGCAGCTCTGGCAGGAGCGGATTGGCATTGCGTGGATTTGGATGCTTCATCCCTCCCCTGCCAGCAGGGCCTGGCCTTGTCCCGGGCAGCCCCGTGTGGGCACCCTGGGGCCGTGGGATGGAGCCCTTGGCCCTTGTCCTCTGGCAGGAATCGCGATGTGCTCTGAAGGCTCCCACGGCCTGAAGGGACGTCATGAGTCTGTGCTTATGGGCGCAGAAAGTCCTGCCCGGCCACGGTGCCGCTGCTCCAAGGGGGTGACTGTTTTCCATCCCTTTCTGCCCCATTTCCCCTCTCCAGGCGTCCGCCCACATCCGGGTGCCCTTTCCCATCCCGGCTGCCCGTGGGCTCGTGGCCCCCGTTGTCCTGGCCCGGGAGGCCGTGTGCGGTGCCCGCTGCACGCGGGGCCTTTCCCCTGGCCCGTGGGCAGAGCCTCGCGGTGCAGAACCAGGCGAGCGGCTGGTTTGCCAAGACTGCAGCCCTTTCCAACCGGGAAAACAGGTTCTTGGGCTTCTCGGGGAAGCGAGCAGCGTTTGCTGTGGTGTTGATCGTTGCCCTCATGAATTTCAATCTATTCAGTCACCGTCTGGTGACACCAGCA